TTTCACAACATGACCAATCTGGGAATATATTTTGTATGACTGCACATGTATAACCTATATCAAATTGATTACTGTCTCAGGGAGGGAGGAGGAAAGGGAGAAAATTTGAAGCTCAAAATTTTTAAAAATGTTAAAAATGGTTTTTAAATGTAGTTGGGAAAAAAATGAAATATTATGAAGTTTAGACTACTTTTTTGTCCCCTTCCTAATAGTGCATGTAATTGACATTTAGAGAAGTCTGTAAAGCACTTTCTGTACATGCGAGCATTTATTCTTCTCAACTATACAGCAACTTCCAAATATTTGAAAAGTCAAACAAAACAAAAAACAACCTTTCTAGGCTCGATGGGTCACTGGTCACACATGTTTTTCCTGAAAAGAAAATGATTGACTGAAAGGTTAGGTGCTGCTATTCTCCCCATTTTGCAGATAGGGAAGCTGATGCTTAGAGAGGTATAGCTAGGAACAGTCTGAGGGAGGAATGGAACCCAGGTTCATTCCCTCACGCAAAAAGCATTTATTATTCAGCGACCCTGACTGACCTCTTGGTTGTTCCACGAGCAAGACTGTTCCCCTCTCAGCTCCCAGCATTTTCTCCAGCCATCCCTATGTCTGGAATGCTCTCACTCCTTAACTCTGCCCTGACCTTCCTGGTGTCCCATTCCATCTTTCCTTCCCTAACTCCTATCTCCAGGGCTTTCCCTCGTTCATTATTTCCTCCTTATCCTGCAGATAGCTTGCTCTGTACATATTTGTTTTCCCCCCTCTTAGATTGCAGGCAGGGACTGTCTTTTGCCCTTTTTCGTATCTCATGCTTAGCATAATGCCTGGTGGGTAGTAGGTGCTTAATAAACATTGACTGATTAAGGGTGCACACACGAGATACAAACCCAACAATGACACAGTCCCTAATGAAACAACACTAACTAACAGATTTAAATAAATGTAAACTCCCTCTGGGCTACCACTGTAGTTGAAGGTCACTGCCCCTAGGTTCAAAGGTACCCTTGTCCATGCTCTGACAATCTTAGCTCCTAAATCCCCACCTGACCTTTAATCACCAGGCAGTTCAGTACAAAGGCATTGACTGAGATGGTATTGTAAGAACCATAGCTATAAATCATTCCCCACCCCTTAAATCTGGGGTGCACAACATGGGTGGGAAGAGGGGGCATAAACTAAGAGTACCCTGGTAGTAAGGCATACTCATAAGTGAAATGTGGTCAGGGTAATTCCTTCTCCCCCCAAACCTCCCATGTCCATTCCAGGCCAGGAACAAGCCCTGGATGAGAAAGGAATTCCATTAAGAAAGACGCTGGCTCTAAAGAATGCACCTTTAGGTTGGGATCTAGACCCCAGAAAGGAAAACTCCTGGACTTTCCCACCAGGCAAATCTCTGGAGATTACCTGAGGCTATAATCCCATCCACTGGCCTTTCATTGTGGCTACACCTAATCTCTGTTACCCTTACCCTAGCCTGGCCCTCTATTGTTTTACCTCCCTATGGCCCCCCAGCCATTTCCTACCCTTAATCCTACCTGGTCTCCATTCTCCCGTGGCCACGTGGTCCAGGTCCCAGGAGTTCTGTTCACCCCAGTTTACTGGCCACTCCCATCCAGATCTTCCTTAGACTCCTCCTCCAGTCACCCCAAACTACTTGGCCACTCCTAGATCCCTCCTACAGTCTTTCTTTATGTAAGGTCCATCTTATCTCCATTTAAGGTGCTTAGATTCTTAAAATCTAGCCACTGCTTAGATTCCTCTAATCTAGCCAATAGCTCACTAATGCTCAGACTCCTTAAGAGCAGCCAATATGACTGATATTCTAATAAACCTAGTCTTTGGCTGAAAAAAAAAAAAGAATACACCCCTACACCAGGCTCACACCAGAGATAATTTTGATCAGGGCCTGATACAATGGCCTGAAAGACTTCAAGAAATATCACAGAGAAGGAACAGTATAATTCCACCAAGCAGTCTCTAACCTAAAAAAAATGCAATTTCAAGTGTCAAGTTTACCAGCGATAAAACCTTTCAGCCACGATTGTAGCTCCTTTCCTTAAGCTCTGGTGCATGTGACTTATGTCCTATTTATAGGTCCCAATTTTTTAGAGGATGTAATGATAACTTTTAGTTATTCAAGAAGAGACTGTCAGTGAATGTGGAGCTTCTCTTAATTATTGATAAAAGTCATATGGATGACCTTATTTCTGTTAGAAAGTGATGAGATTCAATATAAATGAAATTTCAGAGATTGTGAGATTTTAAGGTCAGCCTTTCAGAGAACATATCCTCATATCAGTCTCAACCCTCTGGTTTGGTTCCAGGAATGGATTGGTTCCAGGTATGCAGAACTGATTTGCTCTGAGAAGTTTGCTCCACTCTTTGTCCTATTAGGAAGGAAGGAATCACATCTTTATTAAGCACCTTCTAAGTGCATGAAACTGTGCCAAACACTTCACAAATATCTCATCTGATCCTCACAAGAAACTTAGGAGGGAGGTGCTATTATTATCCTCATTTTATGCATGAGGAAATTGAGGAAAAAAGCCCAGTGTCACAGTTCCTAAGTGACTAGGGCTAGATTTGAACTCAGGTCTTCCTGACTCCCAGCTTAGCACCCTATCTATTTCACATCACTGTGAATCCATCTAGGAGGTGCTCAGGAGACTGGTTCATTGGGTACAAAAAGGGAGTAAGGGTATCCAAGTCAACCAATCCAATGCAGTAAGCATATAAGTGCCTACTATGTGTCAGGCATTCTTTTAGCTACTGTGGTTACAAAGATGAAACTTAAAATAGCCCCTTCCCACAAAGAATGCACATTCCATTAGGAAAATAAGACACGTAAATAGGTAAGTATACTCCAGTGGGGGGCAGCTAGGTGATGCAGAGTATTAGGCTGAAAGTCAGGAAATCAGCAAATCCAGCCTCAGACACTTACTGGCTGGGTGACCCTGGGCAAGTCACGTAACCCTGTTTGCCTCAGTTTCCTTATCTGTAGAATGAGCTGGAGAAGGAAATGGCAAGCCACCCCATTATCTTTGCTAAGAAAACCCCAAGTGGGGTAATGAAGGGTTGGACATCACTGAAAAATGACTGAAAACATAGAATTCCCCAAAGTACCTCTGATCTCATTGGTGTGGGTACTTTCTCCACTGATAAAGATAATATCAAATCCCTGGTATTCCATCCTATACAATCCTTGTCCATGCCTCTCCATACCATTGCTTGAAGTACACCCCTGCCCCAAAATTCTGTGAGTGATTTCTTGAATTCTTTTAGAATTTTCAATTAGAGGGGCAGCTAGGTGGTGAAGTGAATAGAGCATTGGCCCAGGAGTCAGGAGGACCCGAGTTCAAATCTGGCCTCATACACATAACACTTACTAGCTGTGTGACTGTGGGCAAATCACTTAACCCCAATTGCCTCACCAAAAAAAAAAAAAGAAAAAGAAATAGAAAGAAAAAGAATTTTGAATTAGAATTAGAATTTGGAACCAATGAACCCACGATGCTGTTCATATATATACAACAGTTAAGCATCTACATGCCTCTTTGAGAAAGAAGAAAATCTTGACAACCAGAGGCATGAGAAAGACTTCTTAGATGAGGTGGACTAAGAGCTAAGCTTTGAAGGAACTGTCAGGAGTGGAGGCAAAGAGGGAAGAGATGCATCCCAGGCCTGGGGGACATCCTGGGCAAACCAACAGGGGTGAGAGGCGTTGGCAAATAGCCAACAGGCCAGTGCGGAATGTATGAAAGGCAGCAATGGGAAATGTTTCTGCAGGTTGCTCATGAAGGGCTTTAGCTGTCCGGCTGAGGAGTTTCTGCTTTGGTGTCAGACAGCCCCGGAGGTTTCTGATCAGGAAGTAAACTGATTAGACTTGGGTTCTGGGCGATTTTTCAGCTATTGATCGTCTTGACGGGGTTAGGCCAAGCTCCTCAGACCTGCTCAGGTACAAGGCCCATGCCTCTAGGGGATATTCACTAATTCATTCACGCTTGAAATATGTGGTATCTGTCATTTGTACAATATCTTAAGTGACCTCGTGACTCTCCTGATATCTTGAGAGTTTTCTGGAATAATGATGATCTTGGTCCAACCCAACAAGGGTAAACTCCTGGCATTCACAGAGGGGCCAATTTGCTGTAATGCCAGTTAAGTTGGCCCTTGGGACTTGAAACCACTTAAGAACCCCTTCAAGGATGTCTGGAGGCCCTTCTGAGTTAACACGGAGTTGGTTTTAAGAGTTAATATAACTTGATGGGTACAATTAAGAAAATGTCCTCACAAAGAGAAACTCAGAATTAAGGCCAACGATCTCAACTACCACCTGTAAGGACAAGAGCTATTTAAAGTGATTTGCACTCATGTATATTACCAGCCTAGAAGAGGAGAACATGTGGTGCTGGATTTTGATTTGAAGGATATGGATTCAGATCCTGGCTTTGGAACCTGACTAACCCAAGGTAACTTCCTGGGTCTAAAATTTCTTATCTGTAAAATGAAGGATTTGGATGAGATGACCTCTAACAATCCCATCTAGTCCTAAATCAATGACCCTATAATTCTATGAACATTAACTTTGCCAGTGAGAAGCACCACAGTATAGGGGTTAGAGGGTTCACCTTCTGGTCAGGAAGGCATGGGCTGATCTCCCCTCCCATGGCTGAGTCAATGCCCCATTTAATTCCCAAAGACTCTATGATAAGGAGTGGTTGTGTCCCAGGGAATTTCTCAAGACCATGAGCTTCAGGAGACAGGCTGATAATGCTTCAGTGGAAATCATTCCTAACGGTGGATTAGTCCCAAGTCCATACCTCCCCAACCGTAAAGTTGAGCCATCAGGAGGGAAAGAAAGCACTGGGCAGCATTCACGATCAAGAAGAGTAATCAATGTTTCTGTTTTGAGCTCTCTATGTATGGAGTACGAGGGGCATGGGAGAAAGTCACAGACAGTTAAGCAACCATCTGGTAGGTCAAAGAAAGAGCCTTACCGATCTGGTTTCTGCCTGAAGAATAAAAAGCATTGACCACTGCTGCCCCACTTATCCACCTGTGTAAAAAGAGAAAAATTTGTTACAAATGGCCAGGAGAGACAGACAAGATGTAGACATTGTACACATACATATATATAAATATGTGCCAAAACACACATGTATACACATACAATCAAAGCTTAAAACTGCCTTAAGAGTTTGGGGACACCCTGTATATCTCTTCCCTATCCCACCTCCCTGCTATGATTTCATTCTTGTGGACGACTCCTAGAAATGAAACTCCCTTAATGGAGAAAGCAACTGGGGACACACGAGGTTAAAGCACCTTGCCCAGGAGTCTTGAGAGGTGCAACTAGAACTTAGGCTTTCCTAGTTCTGCACTGACTCTCTGTCCCCTATGCCAAGCTAGCTCAACAAAATAGGTTTCTCCCAAGCTTTAGCTTCACTTTCAGTGTGTGAAAAAATGATGCACAAGGGGAAAGAAATGAGGGCAAAAATCTTTCTGTTATGAGTGTTTGCAATATGGCACTATTTACTGTGCTTCATAACAACATTACTATTATTTTTGTGTTTGTCGCCTATTTTCAAAGAGCTCCATGACATCAGGGAGATGATGACATGACTTGCAATTGACTTTGCTTTGAGTGAGGGAGGGCTGTAGAAAGTCACCAGCCTCACTTTCTCCTCCAGAGCCATCTGGGTGCAGTGGCTAGATATAGATCAGGTCAACGAGATGGCCCATTAACAAATGTATATAGTCTTGTCAAAAGTGGCCACAGAGTTAGGCCTTCTCTTTTTTGGCCTGGTGATGCCATCTTTTATGATGATGGCTGACCACCAAAGAGTCTTCAGTAGATGACAGAGTACTGAAGTGCCTGGGATGATGGGTAACCACCAGTGTCTTCAGTAGATAACATGGTACTGAAGTGACTCAGATGAGAGGTTCCAGGTGCCTTATGCTCTGGATCCAAAGGATTGACACATTTTTTTCCTTTTTATTAGAAATAACAATTTTCATTGATTCCTTTTGTTTTAATACCACAATAATTTCTAGATATACCATTTCCCACTCCTACCCCACAACTGAACCCTCCCTTGTAACAAAGGAAGACAGTTGATCAGAAACAAATAATGAAAAGACCTCTGACAATGCTTGGAACATTCTTCACTCAAAGTCATATGATAGAAGGATTGTAGATCTAGGGATGAGGAAACTGACCTGGCCTCTCTTCCAAGTGGATGGAAATGTCTTTCATTATCTATTCCTAAGTCTAATGTAAGAGCACAGTCCCTTAGGAGGTGATGTATAAGATGTTTTTATGAAAGGGAAAATTCCAGCCAAAAAAGGCAGGGTCTTCTCAGAGTAGAAAGAGGGAAGCTACAGGCTATTAAAATAGATGTTTGCAAAGGATGGCAACTCCTAGACCTACCCCCCACTCCCGACACACACAAGCTAATCACTTGGTCTTGTCAAGCATAAGAAAGGAAAATGAATTCTTCTCCTACTGAGTAGACATGCTGATGAGTTGGCTTCCACTAGGATTTCTCATCAAGACTTTTAAATCTATTGAGGTAGCTAAATGTCCCGTCTTGATGAAGCATTCTGTGTACATACCACTACTAAAGTCCTTGTTATAAAATAAACACTGCTTGACCTCTAGCTAGCTCCTTGTCTTTGGCTCACGGTTGTTTCAAGCTCTGTTATATAACAGCTGGTCTATCTCTAATTTTCCATTCTACAATACAGTCATAGCTCTTACTATTAGAGATTGTTCTAGAGAATAGCAAAGAAATCATTAAAGTTAAGTTGTTAGAGTTTTATTTAGGGTTTACTTTGGAAAGGATATGGTACTTTAGTTTGAGAGAGCCATTTTTTCTTCTGTACACAGTGTTAGAAGTGAAATTCAAACTCAAATAGGTCAAGGTTCCAAGTTCTGCTCTCTAACCATCATCAGGAAGTCACACGGCCCTCTCAGTTTTAAGATTACTCTCTAATGAGGGACCAGCCAAGATGGTGGAGTAGAATGAAATAACATAATTCAGCCAAGCTCTCTCCTACAACTAGTCCAAAAAATCCTAGAAAACACACCGAGTAGAGTCCTTATCGGGAAACTCAAGACAAAAAAAAGTAATTTTTTTTCCTAGTCCAGCTTAGCATAGGGGGAGATCCATAGAGGATGGTGTCTGTTTAGGTAAAGACTGAATGAGTGCCTACCCAGAGTTGAGTACCAGGGCAAAAAGTCCGCAGATCTGGCACAAAAAGCTTTGACTTTCTGCAGAGAGCAAGAATAGATACCAGCTGGAGGTTCTGTCACTCATTACTGACTACTGAGATCCAGTGCAGATTGTGGAGGGGAAATATGCCAGGGGAGGAGGGTTAAAAGAGGGTAATAGGACAGTCCAGGGCAAGGAATAATGTTGGGCCCTAGGCAGTATGCTGAGCAGTATATGAGCATGTAAAGAAATAAACAACAGCTGTGTGGCTCTGACCCCAGGAACAGAGAGGGGTCTCGAATGTAGTCTGAAACTTAACATGACAGGAAGCCCATACCAAAGGGGAGCCTGACATTCTGTCAGTCTGAAGCTGCTGAGCTATCCCCCTGGCTGGCAGTGGCTGAATCCAGCAGCAGTACCCTGGAACTCCAACAAGAGTTAAGGCCAGAGTTGTGTTGCTCACACTGAAACCCAAGTGAGGAACTCAGAGAACCCAGACCAGGAAGGCAGACCTCAGATTTCATCCCCATCAGATAATATGGTCATTTTTATTGTATTGACTAGGCCCACCCATTACTAATTCGTATTCCTCCAAATAATTAGATCTCTAATATTAAAATAGATCTGTGGTCTCAGTGTTGTGAGCATTTCCTCTGCTAGTACAGATTTCAACTCCTCCATGAGTCATAATAACAATAATAACTAGCATTTTAAGGTTTGCAAAGCACTTGGCAAATATAATCTTATATTATCCTCACAACAACCCTGGGGGATAGGTACTACTATCACCTCCATATAAAATAAGGAAACTGAGGCCAACCGAGGTAAAGTAACTTGCCTAGGGTCACACAACTAACAAGTACCTGAAGCCGCCCTTGAACTCAGTTGTGCCTGACTCTGGGCCCAGTTCTCCATACACTGCCCAACCTAAATTCAAGGGTCTACCCTCCCCTATATCCAGAGGTCTATCCAACATGTGTTTTTTTACTTGTGTCCTCTTGACATAGAACAGAAACCAGTATAACACATGGACTCTCCTACTATTATCTCTAACTTAATTCATGACTGATACACATGAAAAAATATTCAGGAAATGAAAACAAGTGTTTCTTAAGTATCCTATGATTACTCAAGCTTTACTGAAAACCCCTTCTCCTCTTCCTACCCCCACCAGATTTTTTTTTCATGGTATACAAGTTCCACAACTTTTGAGATTCTGTTTTTATAGGGTTGCCTTGCAAGCTTGCTCAAAGAGACATCAGAATGTGTTTAATGGCTCATTACATTTGCATGGTTTGCATAAATTATGGGAGATTGTTGAGCCAGTCAGAAAGACTAATAGGGATAGCAGCCCAAAGACACTGGGACAAAATTGGTGCCATTGTTTTAAAATTGTTTTTCCCCTAAATGTGATAAAAGGAGAATCAGGATAGGTGACCCCCAAGTGTTAGCTAATGAATGATGCCATTTTTAAAATGCAGGAGGACAAAGATAAATTATGGTTCTGTAGAACTGCTCTTCTTGAATGGCTTGTATTTTGGAAAAAAAATCATTATCAGGGATTTTGATCAAGTGGTGTCCTGCTAACGTTCTTATTCCATTTTGATGAAACCACATTTCTATTCCTATTTGTAGCGTTTAGCAGGTACAGCTTTACAGATACTAAACAGGTGTTTGCCAGGCCTCTCCTATGTGCCAGGCACCAGGTTAAATGCTTTGTTGTTGTGAGCCCATTTGGGGTTTTCTGGGAAAAGGTACTGGAGTGGTTTGCCATGTCCTTCTCAAGCTCATTTTACAGATGAGCAAACTGAGACAAACAAGCTTAAGTGATGAGGCCAGATTTGAACTCAGGAAGGTGAGTCTTCCCGATTCAAAGCTCAGTGCTCTATCCACTGTGCCAACTACCTCTTTTAACTGGTTTACAAATATTTCATTTAATCCTCATAACAACCCTGCAAGGTAATATTGTAATCTCCATTTTTAGATGGGGAAACTGAGGCAGATAGCAGTTAAGTGACTTGCTCAGGGTTGCACATCTAGTAAATGTCTGAGCCCACATTTGAACTCAGATATTGCTGACTCCAGGACCAATACAATATCCACTCCACCACCTAGCTTCCTAGACATTGAGATAGCAACACCAATAAAATATTTTCTTATTCAAATACCAATGAAGAAAAAGCTATAAGTTACTAAAGGTAGCCTGTGCAGCAAACATTGGAAAACCAATTGAGTGTGGTCAGTGTGTACCTTACAAATGTAATAGGTTTGAAGTACCAACTTGGGGAAGATGCTGTCATTTCAAAAGAACTGGAAACTTTCCAGTACTGCATCAGGGAAAAGGGCAATGTCCCATCCTCCTTGCAAGCTAAATCCAGACAAGGAAATAACCTGGGGACAGGTGTTTCTTTAACGAGGCAGCAAGACAAAATAGGAAGAGGGCTAGACTTAAAGATGGAAGCACACTGTCCGGGTGACATAGCCATGAGCCAGAGAGGCAGAAGATACAGTTGCTTCTCTCTGGGCTGTCTCACTTACCACATTTGCATGTGTGTTGGCTATACAGAAGGAGGGGCATGAGGGAGGAGAGAGAATAAAGTATTATTACTATTAATAACGCTAATAATAATCAACAGCACGTATAACCAAGATACAATTATGGCATCTCAGGCTCGTTGGTCATGTTTGGGGCATTCAATGGCCCAGTGGAGAAGGGATATATAGACAATATGTCTCTCAAACTAGAACTAACCATCTAAATTAGAAACTTCAATGTTTAAGCCTAGAGAGAGGTACCAGGTGTTTCTCTTCTAACTCTTATTACCCAGAAGGGTTTAAATGG